AGCTGGATTTCAAGTTTATCTTAATATTATAGCTTATCAATAGTTTGAATAAACATTATCTGTTAATAGAAGATTAGCTAAATAGTCTCACTAGATAGTTATCTTCTAATTAGCTTACTAGTATAAATAGGTGATTAAGCCTATTGTATTAAATGTCGCTTTTACGTTTTTCTTATTAATAAAGTGAAACCTTTGACACTCAAGATTGTTCTTTGATGTTCATAATTTATTCTTGAGTGTTCATCATTTTGTTCATTAAAACACTATAATTTGGTTATTCTTAACTCAATTATTAGTGTTATTGAGAGATCTGGGATCAACAATCTCTTGCCAGCAAGGCCGATGAAGTACAATCTCGGCTCACTAAGCATGGTGTGCTGCTTCAGCAAATATTTGAGCTCTTGCTGCAACTAGCCCCGGTCCCTAAAGTCACGTCACTGAAGCTGATCGTCAACAACTGGACCGGGTGGCTGACTTCAACCTCATGCAAACTGAGGCTCTCTCCAACCTTAAGCAACAAGTCAAAGACATCTCCTTGTGTCCTGATGATCTCACCTCCTATCTTGATAATGACAAAGAGGGGAGAATGACAAAAGTGAAAAAATTTCAATGGAGAACGCCAGTGATGTTGTTGCTGATGAAGTTGTTGTTGTCTTCCCTCATGCAGATGTTATCCCTACTGCTGAGGATGCCATCACAATCTATGAAGCTAAAGTTGATGCTGAAGCTGAGGATGATGATGATGTCGTGATAGCTTCGACTACTCAAGAAGACCTTCCCCTTACCTCTGCATTGAATGTTGGTGATGATGATGATGATGATAATGAGGATGAACTTCTTCTACCTGATGCTGGACAAGATCTTGGACACCATGATGATGATGAAGACGACGAAGATGACGACTTCACCATCCAAGACCGGTTTAGAAGGGTGTCTCCTTAAGGGAACTAGCTTCCCGGGGGGAGAGAACCTCAAGGAACCAGCACTCCTCTACAAAAAATAAAAGAGTGTCAAAAAAAGGAAAACTTGATTTTCTCTTCAAGGCAATAGACCCTATCAAGGTATCCCAGTGCTTAAGGTTCATCCCCTTCTCTACAGAATCTGAACGTTCTTCTCTTCTAGTCACTGCACCAACAATCCCTTATGGTCCTCTAAATGAAAGGATAGCTAATATTCCAACATCTGGAGCTACTAACGACCAAAGGATGACTCAGCTAAAGAGTCGGCTTGACCAAACCAGGGTAAAAATCCCTTTTCGTACCTCTGGTTGTGGTGAGTTCGACTTCCTCACTGACGTTAAATGTGAGGAAGATTTGAAAGCTGAAGAAGAGTTGCGCATTCAATGGCAACAGATGAAGGATAGTCTAAAGTTGGCCAAGTCTCTAGATGTCCAAGCTCTAGCCAAAGAGGAGTTGAAGAGAATGGATCCAGTCAAAGCTCACGCCTAATTGTTGTCACAAGCTAAACGAGAACATCAAAGGGCACAGACGCTGAAAGACCATGACCTGAAGTGGTGCAATGAAAGGATCAAGAAAAGAATAAGTCCCCATAGCATCTCAAACGTTACCATCAGCGGACCGATAAAGGATGGTGGACTTCTCATGTCTTTGGTCATCCTCAAAGAGAACCAAGATGCTATCAGCAAGTACCCTTCTTACCTCGGGTAGTACGGCTTCGATGAATGGATGGAGATGCGACAGGCTATTCAGTGCTTAAAGTCAAAGAATAAGCCGATAATTGAAGACATCCTGAACGAGCTATCGAAGAAGGTGTCTAAAATTGTTGATGTCCCTCCTTTTGCTAGAGAAGCCTTTATCAAGAAGAAAACACCTTTTAGATCCTAAAGATGGACCATCCCATAGGAATGAAGACAAGACAAAATTCTTCTTGGATGAAATCCTGAAGGATCGAAAGAAGTCGAATCTCTTAAAGCTGAACCTAACACTGCCAGTGAAGGGTCCCTACATACCCAACACTATGCCTGTGAACCCTAAGTTTGGACTCATGTTCATTGACTATGATGGCGAATACAGGTTACAATAAGTATCCGAGTTCCACCTCTATCCTATAGAACATTTGGAGTATCTAAGGACTTGGCTAGATAATGACATCTATGGAGAGGCGATGGAAGGCAAGATCAGAAACGAGATGCTGAGATGCAAGAAGCTCGGTGAAGATGTACTTGGGTATATCAACTTCAGCGACTTAGTTTAAAAGTTCTTTCTGTCTTGTAAATCTTTATTTTCCTTTCTTTACTTTCAGTGTATAACTTATGTGTAATAGGTATACCAATATTGATAGATGACTTGTAATATTTCCCTTGTTTAATATGCAATAAAATTTATCAGTTCACTGAAAAAGATCTCTGAATAGAGTAATAGGGATAAGTATCTATGAGTTCCAGTACTCTTTCATTCATTGACAACTTTCTAGTCAGTGAATATTTCTTCAGTTTTGGTTATTATTATTATTATGTTAGTTTATCCTTGAACTTGTAATCCTTTACAACTTTAAGTAAATTTTCATAAGTAAACTGAATCATTGGAAAGGATCCCAAAACAGTTAAAATGGACAAGTATTTTTATTTGTACATTTTCTTTAGTGATGTAATTTAAGCAATTTTCTTTATGTTGCTTTGTCATCATCAAATAGGTGGAGATTTTTGATCCTCTCTCTTAATGATTTGATGATGATCCTTTTATCTATCGAAGTGTATTATATATGTTATTTAGTTTCACCGATCTTCACTAAGTCTGTTTAGTGATCGCTGAACATGTATTGTAGTTCATTCAAAGACCATTATACTTCAAGAAGACAAAACTCAGACTACAGATCTTTCAGTGATGTCAAAGATACAGAAGATTAGAGACCAGCAAGTTCGTGATCTGAAGCAGTGTTCACTGATAACAAGCTTGTCTATAAATGTGTGAAGTTTGTGCAAGATTTTGCGAACACTGATGACACCTTTTATCGTCATTCTAGTGTCCAGCGATCAAATGAATCTTGTCAAGCAAGATTGTTTTTGTCTTCTCCTGTACACATAAAGAACAAACTCATACCTTTAGAAAGAATAGTACAGTACGCAGCCACTCCTTTGACTCTAAAAGTGCTTACCTAATTTATGAAAAAGGACTGCTCATATACAGGCAAAATGACTGTATATTGTAGCAAAGGAAAAATCTTTCTTCTTACAGCTTGTCATGTGTCCTATAGCTTCTGAACTGCATTTAATGCCATGGGTATAAATAGCAGAGTGGTTCTCCTCTCAGTTATCATCTTCCTTAATAAGAACTTATCCAAGAAGTTACTTCTCTCTGTACTCTCTATCTGAAGAGAAAGACCCACTTTAACAAGTGAAGAACACATTTATACTTACCTTATTTCTTGTAGCAAATCTTTTCTTATTGCTATTTGTATTTTGTGTGTATCGTGGATTGTTTAGATAGGTTATGTATCATATCTCTTCCTCAAACAATTTGTAAAATTTGTATTGATCTTCTTTCTCAATATATAATTTTTACAAACACAATAATTTTCACTTTTAAAAATTATATATTGATAAAGAAGATCAATAAAAATTTTACAGATTGTTTGTAGAAGAGATAGAATACATAACCTATCTAAACAATCTAAGATACACAAAAAATATATATAACAATAAAAAATATATGCTACAAGAAATAAGATAAGAAGAAATGTGCTATTCACTTGTTAAAGTGGGTCTTTCTCTTTAGATAGGGAGTAGATAGAAATGTAACTTCTTGGGTAAGTTCTTAGTGAGGAAGATGATAACTGAGAGGAGAACCACTCAGCTATGTATACCCATTGCATTAAATGCAATTCAGAAGCTACAGGACACGTGGCAAGCTTTAAAAGGAAAGCTTGTCCTTTGCTATAGTATATAGTCCTTTTGGTTGTATATGAGCAATCCTCTTTCATAAAGTAGGTAAGCACGTTTAGAGTCAAAGGAGTGGCTCTATACTGTACTATACTTAGAAAGGTATGAGTTTGTCCTTTGTGTGTAAAGGACAAGACAAAAACAATCTTGCTTGACAAGATTTATTTGATTGTTGAACACTGGAATGATGTTGAAATGTCTCATAAGTGTTTGCTGAATCTTGCGCAGACTTCACACATTTATAGACGAGTTTGATATCACTGAACACCACTTCATATCACGAACTTACTGGTCTCTAATCTTCAGCTCCTGTCGTCGACATTACTGAAGGATCTGTGGTGTGAGTTTTGTCTTCTTGAAGTATATTGGTCTCTGAGTGAATTAAAATACATGTTCAGCAATCACTAAACAGACTCAGTGAAGATCGATGAAACTGAATAACAGAAATAATAGACTTCAATAGATAAAAAGGATCATCATGAAATCATTGAGACAGAGGATCAACAGGCTACTGTGTCATTTTCTTGTTCAAATTTGCATCAAACAACCGAATTGTGCCTTGTTTATTAATTTGAGAGTGCCCGAATGTAGCAGTACTTTTAACACAACAAATGATTTCTTAAGATGACATCTCAACCCCAAATTCCGTTCTGTTGTAAGGAGACATTAGCACCTTTTGCATTGTGCCTCTCGCATAAAATTTAGAAGAACAACCAAATTGAATCCATCTCAATCAACGGATTTTTGTCCATAGTGGGAGCACTTGAACAATGGGATCAGAAGTAGATGAAGCATCTGTAGTCGAAGGATGCCATTTATTAGAACAAAAAAACGTCTGATTAATGGTGAATATTGGGAGCTGAAACCAAAACATGATCCCAAATCGTGAATTATAGCAAATAATGTGATTGTTTTTAGCATTTGACAGTTTGGTATTTCTCCAACATCCCATACCACTTGTATATACTCTTGGATGGTCAAAAAAAGACCAAAAAAGGTCCCTGGCGACTTTAAATCTATTTCCCAATTAATGGCTATAAGTTTTGAATATGACACTACTAGATAGGGAACTTTCATCAACCAACATCACCGATAGCCTCTATCCTTCAGTGCTTTGCAATGGATTATCGATGGGAGGCTGATAATATGATGTTTCAGATGGTTTTTTCCAACAGTTATCAACACGATGGCAATTTGTTGATGAACTATGAAATACTAAAGAATTACTGAAGATCTTTGAAAAAGTTTGTTGCAAAACATTGGAAAACAAAGAATTAAATAAACATCGACGATCTATCAGTGATTACTAAAGGGTAATTACTTTTTGTTCTTTTATTTTCAAATAACATTTTCCAAAATCTGACAGTGATTCTTTTATTATCTTGACTCCCGCAGATAAATGATGGAGGTACACATGAATTAATGGTGATGGTTTTCCTAGCAACGATGCACTCAATAGTTATTAGACTTTTCTTATTCCGATGAAGGGTTTGTTGAAATGAATACCATACGTGGTGGCATATCGTTTCATATTAGATGCCCTTGTTTCTAGCGTCAAATTTAATACAACAGAGAAAGGGATGACTAAGGCTACACTTCATGAAGCGTGGTTTCGTGGCTAATTATACAACTTGGTGAGTAATGGTGAAATTATTAATGCATTTTAGCACGTGAGACAATCTTTTAATCCAACAGAAGATCATAATGATGGCTACACTTAAATGGTATTCGATTACATGTAACATGATACTATGATATGGGAAGAACAATACCATAATTAGTTTACCTGTCAAGGGGCTATGTGACCTGTTACAAGATGTTGAAGAGTGTTTTTGGATGGGTGTGAAATTATTTGAAATTATGGATGTGATGATGTTAAATTGGAAGGCATAATGTAATATACCGAAGGCGACTTATATTCGAGTTTCCCATCATTAAAGAGATGTTATCCGATAGTGAAAAACTACTTGGAAATTCCTATGAGATGAAGAAGAGTTTGAAAGAAGCCTGGTCTAGTGAAGAAATGACCAATGCATGTGAAAAC